AAACTTATAGGAACATCTCTGTTGGACAAAGTAGGACCAAAGGAAGGGGTTAATTTTAGAGGAAATTTATAAACTAATTTCTGCATATATCACATTGAATGTTGTATTTTATTTAGCTTGTACCAATGTATCAGTGTGCCGAGCTTTGGCAAGCTTTTATAATTAAATATGAAAAATTAGAAGTATTTTTGTGTATGGGTATCAAACGTACTGCCACGCTGGTTCTCTTTTCGACAGAACAGATTGATTTGAGAACTGGCACTAAATGTAAAGTTCGAAACATTTCATATACATTTCTTTTTTGACGTTCATATTGGTAACACAATGTAGTGTACATTGTGTTACCAATATGATAAAATGATTTTTGACATTTGAAAATACTTTTTGATACCTTTCATTAATTGCCTATCTTTGAATATAAATTTGTTCCCGCTAATTCGTTGTAACTAAACTCCCTCGGAGCCTTATAAATGGCTACACTGCAATTTTTTTGTGCAGAGATTAATTGGGCTCGTTATCCCCACCGCAGACCGCGTCTAATTCGAAAACCAGACAGTGGCGAGGGTTAATTAAAGAATTAACGGGGTCTCTAGGACCCGGCTTGTCGGCCGGATATTAATGATCGGGCAAAATGGACCCTAATGAGCGTGTCGCTGTTATGTGATGTTATATCAAGGGTTATCCAATATTTTTGAAGTTATACTTCTTTTGGCGCGTTAGGGAAAAATTATAAGAGTAAATTTTTACGATGCATGCGCAAACCGTCACAAAAAACAAACACCCTGAAGTTAGCATAGTGAACATTTTAAAATAAAAATGTCCATTTCTTTAATTGTGTAGAACTATTTTTTGTGATATTTAAATAAACTTTGTTTAACGTAAAATGCGTTATAATAAAACTTTCAATGTATTAAATACCTTTTTTTCTAGTGTCGATTTTTCTACAGTCGACGGCGTGTGTCGGGCACAGGCTGATCACCTTCTTGCCAAATGATCATGAAACAGATACAGAAATGTGAGGCCCAGACCTAACAAGGTTGTAAGTGGCACTGGTAATAATAATTCACAATGATGGTGAATGTAAGCAGTGCCTTCAGGTGGCGACTTTCATCTTTGAGGTCGCAGGTTCGATCCCCGGCTGTGAACCAATATATTTTCTGTCTATGTGCACATTTAACTCGAACGGTGAAGGAAAACATCGTGAGGCACAGGCTGACCACCTTCTTGCCAAATGATCATGAAACAGATACAGAAATCTGAGGCCCGGACCTAACAAGGTTGTAGTGCCACTGGTAATAATAATTCATAATGTTGGAGCTTTACATACAAGCCTTGTCGTGTGTGTCCATCCCTTCCTGTTAAAAGAAATGTTAATATATTCAAAAATTAAAACAAAAGTGAAATCTAATTAATGTGGGTTATAAAGACCGAAAGATGTTAAGGACACACTGTGCGGTACACGCATGTTTATTAAGCTATATCTAATATATGAAATTCTCGTGTCACAATGTTCGTTCCCATACTCCTCCGAAACGGCTCGACCGATTCTTATGCGTTTTTATGTTTATTCTTTATGCATATTCAGTTAGTCTGAGAATCGGCTACTATCTTTCAAACCCCTAAGTGATAAGGGGAGTCCACCTCAATTTTTTTTATTTTTTAGACAATATTTTTTGTTGTTATTTTTTATGATACAGCATACAAAAATACATTTTATTTGTATATTAAAAACTATTGAACTTTATATATTATAGACATATAGTAGGCTAAGTAAAATCACATTAAGGAGAAACGAAGTTCGCGGGGGCAGCTAGTATTATATATATAAAAACCCCCACTGCTGTATTAAATAAATAAGTAAAATTATATTATCAGACAACACGATGGAATAATATTAGGAATGTTATTACTGATGTCTAGACTTGTCTAGGTCCACGTTCAGTACATAAATATTTTACGGTTATATTATTGTCGTTCTTTATAGAACAGGGGCCAAACACCTAATGCCAGAGCCTTAAATGCGTTGCCTTTTAAGAATTGGTACGCCTTGAAGAACCCTAAGTCGAACTGTTTCGAAAATTCTTCATAGGGCAGTTGGTTCCACATAGTGGTGGTGCGCGAAAATCGCCTAAGATAACGCTTACGTGTGGTAGCAATATATAACTTCAGTTATAATAAGTAATAGTAGTTAGTATAGTTATTATAAGTAGCAATAATTGATTGGTTATCTATTTATTATTTATAAGAAATACAGGTCAACTAAAATAAATAAAATGGGCGACTGATTTCTTCCACTATAAGGTAAAAAATTGATTAAGTGCAAAACTACATAAGATATAAAAATACTTAGACAAAACTAATAGAACAAAGCAATTAAAACATCTGTAAATGTCAAGTAAATAATAAAAATGTAATCAGTCGAAACAGACAAATATCAAAATTCGTATTTCGTATTAATAAGTAATCGGTCCGAGCTGATACAGCGAAAATATGAAGGGATCTTTATTTATGAATGTATGTAACGTATAGCTCTATTAATTATGTATGTGCATATCTAGAGCAAAAACAAAGGCTTGATGGATGAAGTATTACTCGCTAATGTTTCTTTTAGTTTTTATGTACTGGGGCTTTTTATTGGCACCAGGAAATGGGATTCGATTCCAGAACGAAACGCAAAATCATATTAAAGATTTTCTGCCTGTGTCTGGTTGTGATGTGCCATATCCTCTCACATAACAGGTACTGATGGTAATCAGGAGTTGCTTATTTGCCTTAGCCCCATGCCCTTAGGAACAAAACAATCGACCCCCTAAAGAGGCTTGAACGTTACAATATGAAAAACTTGTTTTTTATTAAATTGGGCTTAGGGTCCTAAGACAAGAGCGTATCAATTCCTAAAAAGCCGGCAACGCACTTGCGAGCCTCCTGGCAGTGAGTGACTATGGGCATGTACATCAGGTTAGCCCCTTGCCCGTTTGCCCCCTGTACTTTAAATTAAAAAGAGTTATTTCATGTCGATCACAGCCTTCATGTGTACGAATGTTTTGTGTCTACCAACAATACACACCTAACATGCGCAGATTTAACATAAACACACACGCGGTACGTTTATCGAAAGATTTGAATAATAGTATGGAAATACAACGAGGTCTCCCACTGTCAGATTGCATATGAATTCAGTAATATTAAAATAATCGAATTGATTACTATATAGTGAGATAAACATTTTATATAGCTTTGTATTTTTATTAATATATCAAGGAATGCCAAAAATGCATCATCATAGGTATGCCTTCCTTCCCCGTAACCACTGTTTCGTCTAACTAGACTTCGTTTAATATGCTTTGTTTAGATTGTGCCACCATCATTGATATACAAAAACCCAAGATGCACAATCAACGTCTAAAAAACGTCCTCAAAAAATGAGCGCAACATTCTAAATTGTGCGCTCATTTCAAATAGTCTCGCGTCTATAAGTGGAGTCGATGTTATTTATTTGTGTTTTTTTTATAAATAAATTTATGTACTCTTGAACTTTTTTGTGTGTAGTTTTTGACAAATATATTTACGCTATATAAAGTGTGGGTCAGGAGGTAGCCAATTTAACATTTTTATTTAATTTAAAGAAAAAACTTTTTAACCGGATTAATGTTATGTATTATTATAAATTTACAACTATTTAACATCCAACACCTTTTGTCTTCAGTCACCGTGACCACTCACGCTGTAAAGCACCCGAAAAGTCGGATAAATTTAAAATTATGTTAAATAGTTGTAAATAAAAAAGTCATGTTCGACTCCACTCAATACCTTGTCCTACCGACCACGATCGGTCGTAAAATTTTATTGCTTTAAGTACGTATACACTGCGTTGTAATAACAACTTTAAGCAATTCGCGTAAGGTTGATTTTGCAATAATATGTGCTTGTAACATATACTGTTATGGACAGAAATAGTGTTTCGGGACACTTTCGAGCGTTACTTTTATTCGAGACTGTGCATCTTGGGTTTTTTGTATATCAATGGCCACCATAGTATATTTTAACATATTCATGCAAACAAATTATTATTAATATTATAATTAGAATAGAACCAAAAATATCGTTTTTTTTATGGAAGGCGTGGGTACAGGACAACGTCTGTCGGATCCGCTAGTATTTGTATTAAAAAAAATACACCACTACACGCAATACTCGTCAGGCGAGTTTGATTATCTTGCCGAAGCCGAACACAAATTATTTAAAGAAGTCTATTGAGTATGAGGGTGTGCAATTATTTAATCAATTACCCTCTAAAATTCGTAATTTTAGCGTGTTTAATCAATTCAAAAGTGCATTGAATATACATATTAGAATGAGCCGAATAGGCTAAAATTGGGATAGCTGATGGCGACGCGTATCTCGTTCGTATATTATATTAAGTTTCTCATGTAAATAAAATACATTTTTTTGTAATGAGAAATAAAGTTCTTTAAACATTAAAATAGTTTAATATATACAAACACTTGCAAAGAGCCATTTTCATATTAAGAAAGCCCTCCCTCCTATACTCAATAAAGAATAACGTCGGACAGGGTGGTATTATGTTTGTGGATGGTAAATCCGCGCTGAATAGAATGCAACGATCTAGCTCGGAACAACGGGCATCGGGCAATAAAGAAGATATGAAAAAGAGCAGTAAGACTTAGGCAAACGCGAATAAAGTCGCTGCGGTTACGTTGTAGACGAAGAGCTTTTGATTCAATAACAACTTTTTTTCATAATTGTTTTAACCGCAATCACATTTTATTGTTTTCAAAGTTATTAGGTAATTTGTACTTTTGTATTAATTATTTTTTCGATAGAATTTGATTTGAGTAAATGTAGAATTAGAAACATTTAATATGAATTTCTTTTTTGACGTTCATATGTGTACATTGTGTTACCTTAATGAATAAATGATTTTCAATTTGAATTATTCAATATAGTTGCCTTCGAGAGCGATACAACGATTATAGCGGTCATACTTTGATATTCATAACCATTTTTATAGTAAGATTTGTAGTCTCAAAATAGGCATCAGTTTCGGCGTTTACCTCTTCATCAGAGCAAAATTTCTGTCCAACGAGTATTCTCTTGAGGTCTGAGAACAGAGAAAAGTCGCTGGGGGAAGCTGGAGAATGCGGTGGATGTGGTTCCAATTCGAAGCCCATTGATTTGTGACATTGCATTGTCTTGATGAAACAGCATTTTCTTCTTCTTCATATAGGGTCGTTTATTGTTGGTATGTTTTTAAACAAAAATGCTTTGTTGCTGAAGTCATATGAAAATAATACTATTGATTTAGGTACTATTCTGGAGGCTTTTTAGCTTATATTATATGTTACTTTAGACAATCAACTATTCTATACTTCAAGCATAAAAGATGAAAATACAGTAATTTAATGAATATCAAATAGAAAAGTTGCACGTTTGCATTATTCATGTATGTAAACATTCCATTTTTCTCATCTCAACGAAATTGCTTCTATGAAAGATAAATTCTACCCGGCGCCCTAATTAACTTCGTAAAACTTTAATGGGTTATTTTCTTGAGGCCAAAAAACGGCACAGCGATTTTTCCCACGCGCGGTTTTTAACGCAAACCGTGCAACACTACGTAAATCTGCAAGTCATTTTTTTATATCGACCCCTACGTTAGTTAACTATCATAACAGAGAGTTTTTTTTAAGTTATTGTTTACCCGCGCGCCTAGGTCAATCGGCTTTTGAACCTGTTCTGAACTAAAATCGGTTTCTTCAAGAAAACCGCGTTCGTTTTTTTCTTAAAGAAACCGATTTTATTAACAAACGCGGATAAAACAGCATAGTACAGAAATCGCCACTGTAACGCGGTATTTCCCTCCATATAACGCCCATATTTCTCAAGTTATATGTCTGTAGTATAAAATATATAATGATTTATCAAGTCCATAGTTTACCTTTGCACCTGTTTCAATTGTGTTGTTATAATAAAAATTAAACTACATAACTTAATTAAATTCGAGTTCCTAGTTTTTGAATTGTTCAATAAAACGGTTTTACGAGAATCCTGCAACACGAATTCTTATAACGCAGGCCGGGTCTACCTCGTTATAGGGAGATTACTGTACTTGCAAATTGTATACTATTGTGACTGTTGTATTTATCCAAAGTAACATAATAGTATCTGAAGTAAATAAGTTAAATACTTGTCTAACAATTTGTTTATCGCCTTTTTATAATCTGGTTTTAAAATATGAGTGGTTAATTTGGTTTCCTGTTACAACCTCACGATATTTAAAAACGCGGTTAGGCCGCAGTGCAATCTGTCGAGTTATTTTCGTTCGCTCTGAGACTATTTATGGGGGCATAAAATAGAGGGGCGACAGTGGAGACAATGCCATCCCTCGTTATGAAGTCCCCGGGGAAGTGAATATATCTCTAGGGACATAAAAAAATAAACCTTTTGTTTGCCAGATTCGAACGTTGCCTTTTTTAGGATAGTCCTCAACGGCAACTGGTCGCTTATATTGTCTATGGTAATGTTTTCTTTTGTGTCTGCTCTGTGGAGAGGGTTGATGCCTGCATACTAATTTGCTGGATACAAGAATTGTATCGACGTTACCACCAAGTTGTTTAATGGAAGTTATTTATTTATTAACACTTTGTTGTATTACATTGCTACATATTGGTTAACATAATTTATTAAAGAGGCAACGGGTAAATAAAATACTAAGAGTAAAGTGTATAACTAAATTAAAAAATAATATTACAGATAACTTGTACCTACAATTACGAAACCAGAATAATCTTAAGAGTCATGTATCACAATTCTAGGTTCTAAAATACATATAAATAATTTATTTATAATAAAAAATTCACGATTAAACAGATGGAAAGTATATGGTTAAGTTGAAGGTTGAGGTGATGTTGAAGAAGCAGCAGAAAGTTGCCTTATATTATATAAATTATAGGCAACAATGAACGTTTCCGTAAATAGTGCGTCAAGTAAAAAGATAGATAGATTGTCTGTCGAAAAGGTGGAGTAGGCTAGCCCAGGACAGAGCAGAAGAGGCTTAATTAGAGCAAGACAAACTGACCATACAACTGGTTGCTGAAAAAAAATGTTTTCTTTTTTTCTTACCAATTATTTGTTTGTAACCAACGGTCAAAATAAAGGCTTTATTTATTTATAACCTAATAAAGCTCTGGCCAGCGGCGAATCCCAAAATATTTAAAATACTTTAATTAATTACTAGTACAATAATTGAGACTTAACTAAATATGAAAATTGAATCGGCCCGATATGAGATGCACGATCTATATCTATAATTCTATATTATAGACTTATTCCTAGTTGAGAATTGACCGGTCCGATGTGAGGATCAACAGCTGTTGGTATCTATTGTCTATTTCCTTTTATAACGGTGTTGCGTCAGAGGGGTACAGGTATTGCATATGCAGGGCAAAGGGAGTGCAATGGATATGGAACAACCTTGAATACTTTTTATCAAACTTTTTGCATGATGATGCCACACATTGCTCTTCGTAAATCAAAATATTAACAAACTTTCTATCACCAATGTTTAACATACTCTATAATTTTTAACACGACAAAATGGTTAAAAGGAATGATAGTTATGGCTGCAAAATGGGTTGTAAAATAAACGTTTTTAAAATAAAGTCTCGTGGTAAGTAAGTAAAAGTTAGTGTTCTTGGTGAGGTCGTAAATTCGCGTCACGTCCACGCGACGGTGGGAGGGCCTGCAACTATGTGATATACGGAACAGATGCGAGCATTCTCCTTATTTTATACAAGTATTGCCTGCCTTCGTTCACGTGGAAATATTTACTAAAATATCTACGTATACAGGGGATATGGTAGTATATCTTTCAGTATTGTTATATTTTGTTCATTATTTATTAATTTACACTTCGTTACATTTATCAAAACAAATAACATTATACATAAAAATTATAAGGAATGCAACTGGTGGCTTTGTCGCTAACAAGCGATCATTTCAGGCAACTCTAGTAAGGAAAATATAATAATATTGAATTACTATCCTTAATCTAAAATAATACAAAAAATTGTAATAAAATAAACTAAAAACTAAAAGGCTAATCTCACGGATTCATGAATTGAGATGCAATACAAAAGAATACGAAATACAAATTACTTTAATTTTGTCAAAGTATGTAGTCATGTTTTTGTATATTTTCTGTCCGCGATGGAATGGTGACCAGTTACCACAGGACTTCTATGGTCCTATTATAGGCACAAGCCTCTGGTTAACACCTGCAGCATGTAAACCCGTAAAATGCAAGCAATGCAATTGTGAAGAGGTTAGTAAAATGTATTTATTTATTATATCTATGTAGAGATTTGACATATAAACCTTCCTCTTGATACATCGCTTGATAAAATAACAAAAAACAACCTGAAGTGACTTATTTTTACTATGTAGAGAAGAGCGAAGTTCTATTGTACCCTTGGGAACGCATTTTTCAAAGCTTCTTCCGTAAGAAATTATTAAAAATATCTCCATATATTTTGCTTTGAAAGTGCTTGAATATTATGAATTAAATTATATTTTATATTATAGGCTGAATCAAAAATAACACTTTGTAAATAATTGGAAGTAGGAAACATGTGGCCATGACATATATAAATTGTTTTAATTGTAATTGTGGTATACCATATTTACGTTTTATTTTATAGACACAGTCAAATATAAAATGTATGGACTATTAACAACTATTACGCTACTGAATTGTAGCATAAACTATCCCTGGGAACTCACAATACATTTCAAAAGTAGGTGCAGCGTTTTTATGATTCTTACGAGATTCGTGTTGATTCGAGAATTTTGATTGAGATTGATAGTTTCCACTTTAAAAAACTTAGACCTCTGTAACTTCCAATAGCGATAACAATTTTTGTTTGCAATTTTGATGTTCGATTACAAAATATTAGCGACTTCGACACGCATTTATGTACCAATAATTATCTCAGAATAACTTTCAGTTAAAACCTAAAATTCCTATTTAGATTTAAAGCAAGTTCCAATATTGATATGAAGATGGGACCTTGGTCTCCATGTTAACTAAAACCGAAGTAGCTGTTAGTTTAAAATGAACAAAAAGCTTTTTTAAAAGTTTCTGAATGGTTTACTCAGACTAGCATACTTCTTTAATTAACGTTTAAAGCCAAGATAAGACTTTGCGTTGATGAAGCTGCTAAGAAACTTGTAGCCCATTTCTTTTTTATTTGGGGAAATTAATTGTGCATTCCAAGTAAAACCCAGCATCAGCAGATCCTTATCCGTTTAAAAGGCATGTTGAATTACCACTCTCGGCCATATATACATAGGTACATCCTAAACCTCACAATCTATTTTCTTAGGTAGTACTCACTGCTTGCCTTAGAAATTCGACCGTGCCCTCCAAGTACGATTTAAGTTCTCGCCCGGTACCGCACAACCCTCCCAAAGGCCGAGAACAAATTGAAAGTTAATTAAAACTTGGACTCGAACCGGGAATCGAACCCGATACCCCTCACCTCACCTCACCAGATACTTAATAAAACCGCTAGGCTATGAGGTCCTTAAGAAACTTGTAGATCAGACCAAACCAATATCGTGAGTGAGAAGGCTCTTTATTTCTATATCTTTAGGTAGGTATGTCGGAAGAAAACATAACCCCACAGTTGTATACAATAAGTGCTTTGTTTCATGTTTCTCACATCAACACTATTACACTACTAGCCCGGACATACAACGACTACTATTTAAGCCTTGACTTGTTTAAGCTATCACGGAATATGCTCATAAGGAGTATTAAGAATAATCATAGCGCAATATCACCTGCATCATGGGCATACCCCACATACACACCTTCTCGTAAAAACCCTCAATTTTACACCATCGCACAATAAAGCCAAATTAGGTATTACTTAGACTACTATTTAAGCCTTGACTTGTTTAAGCTATCACGGAATATGCTCATAAGGAGTATTAAGAATAATCATAGCGCAATATCACCTGCATCATGGGCATACCCCACATACACACCTTCTCGTAAAAACCCTCAATTTTACACCATCGCACAATAAAGCCAAATCAGGTATTACTTAGACTACTATTTAAGCCTTGACTTGTTTAAGCTATCACGGAATATGCTCATAAGGAGTATTAAGAATAATCATAGCGC